TCAAGCTCAAGCTGATGCTGATGCTGAAGACGAGGCGTGGAGTCGTGTACAAATCGTTGGCATTGTAATTTAATGTATCAATTGCTTTGATTTGCCAATTTCAATGCTCATGGAGTGCGTCGGAGGCAGGCTGGAGGTGATGAAGACGAAGACCAAGACGAAGACGAAGACGGAGGCAACAACGGCACGAGCAAAACCTCAGACGCGATCTGGGTCCGGGGTCTGGAGCAGCACTTGAGGCTTGATTAGTGTGATTTAGTTACAGGCCGTGTGCCAGGCGCATGACACAAGCAGCTCCACACAGATCCAGATCCAGACTCGACTTCGACTTCGACTCGGATACACAGCCCGAGTCAGTACCGCCGCCGACTGACTTACATTCAACATCCCGTTGAACGTTCGATGCCTCTTGGATGCCTCTTGTAGTTTGCACAATATTTGATTCCATCAGAAGAAGAGGGGCATGGCATGGCATGGCGGCATGGCGGCATGGAGAGTGCCCCCCGGCTGGGTTGGGGATGGGGATGGAGATGGGGATGGGGTTTGGGGTATAGAGGGTGGTTAGGCCCACTGTGCGCAATTTGCTACACGAAACTGTGCCAAACATCTGCGCCTTTAGTACCCTTTGGGTGCTGCCAGAGCTGGCTGCCGCATCGCCGGAGTAGGAAATGAAAACATCTGCTGACTGATTGCCCCCTGGTTGCAGCAACAACAACAACAAATCAAGACGAGAGGAGGATTAACGGGTCGTACAGCGAAAATGGGATGCTCTCTCGAAGGAAGTTAAATGTAAGGATCATGATTTAACATTGAAATGGGGTTTGGTTTCAGGTATCAACTAGTCTTGATCAAATGAATTCAATTAATTCTATGAGCGTTATGAGACAAACAATAATAGTTGAGTCTCCTGCTAAATGGAGGATTTATATACCATAGAATCACTAGAATAATGCTAAGAAATCCTACATTAAAACCATCAAAACAAAAGGCCACCTAACCAATCTCACAGCCCATACATCCAGCTAAGGAACTCCTTGTCTTAGGGCACTTGAAAAAGCCAAAAGTCTGCCCAATCATTCAGCCAAGTTATGAACTACAGTTAGCTAGAGTTTTGGCCGACTGCCTGCCTGCCTTGCTGCCTTGCTGCCTGGGCTATATAGGTCTTCATGGATCAATGGGATACGCGTGATATCCTTCGGCTAGATTCTGTTTGCTGCTCTGCGCTTTTCACGTCTTCCGTTTGCCCGATTTCGTTGGCTATAATTGTGCCATTAGCTGGCTGTCTGGCTGTCTGGGCCCTGGCTCTGGCCTGGCCTGGCTCCACTCGATTGGTGGAGTACAAGTACAAGCACCAGTACCGGTACCCTCCCGGCAGCATTCTCCACTCCGTAAACCCTTTGTTTCCCCCTCTCTTTGGCTTGTGTCTACATTTGCATCCGTTTAGGTAACCATTTTTGTTGGGTTGCCTTTCGAAAGTCGCATTTAACGGTCCCGTCCCTCCTAATGTGCGCACTGATGCGCATTCTGTGGTCCCCTGTGGTCCACCGCTCGGACCACATTCGAAAAGAGATCCCCGAAGCCAGGCCAGAGAGCTGGTGTCCGAAGCGGCGATCCGTTTGGGCTATGGGTCTCCGATGGGATGGAATGGGGATAGGTCTGGGATGGGGATGGAGATGGAGATGGGGATGGGCGTGTAACTGGGGCGCAACAAAGGCCATTTGTGTAACTGGCACATAATCAACAGTTGCTTAGTCAGGGCGTTATGGGTTCCTACGCTACGGTTCCTCTACATTTCGATTCAGGCCGCAGTAACGTCCCCTCCCGTCTCGGCTAGCCTTTATCCATGCTCGTTATCATAATGTGTTGGCTCATTTGAGGGATAGAGGAGTGGGTGGAGCGGGGCAGAGCGGAGCAGTGCCTTCCATGTGCATCAGAAGCCCGCGCGACCGTGTAATCAGTGAGGTGTGAGTGACCTGAATCTGAATCGGGCATCAGGAAATCGCTCTGGCTGTGGCTCTGGCTGTGGCTGTGGCTCCCTGTAAGTGGAGAATGTTGCAGAAAAGGCAGAAAAGGCTACTTGATCCTCTCTCATATTAAAAAGCATTTCTTCCAGCCATAAATGGTTAGAAAGGTTGCAACTAGTTTCAAATCGAACGGACCACTTGAAGTGCCTGCCCATCGGGCGTTGGATGCCATTCCATGAACTTTATGGATGGTGTTGTGCCTGAGAGAAAACATTTTAAGAATTGTATCTAATTGGTTGTTGAAAGTTGAAAGATGTGTTTCTTTTTTTGGAATAGCCTAAGGAGGGCTGTAGGCCAGCATTCCATAGGTACAAAGCGAAGAGTACCTTCTTAGGCACACGTCTTTCTTTGCTAAAAGGTAGAATTTTAATCCAACCATTCTTGCATCAATTTCTCGAAATTACTCTAGACACAAAATCAATCGAATTCTCATTGAAATTTAATGGAAAAACACAAAGAAAGTGTGGTCGCTGATACTCTTGATGGCTCCCACAGGACAAGGATTTTATGCCACATATCCACGAGGATCCCCCTTTGGGAGATTCGTTTACTCAAGTCAAAGCAAATATTGAATCTGCGGGACCTGCTGGTCCAAGTGGCTAAAGGGGAATCCATCGCTAACCTATCAGAAGCGGAACAGAGCAGTTTCTTAGAACAGTTCTCAACCACGCAGGTACGAATGGGGCTTTCAGACTTTCGGAGCCAATAAAAAGTTTATTGGTAAAGCTTACATTCCTGGTAGGGATAGTCAGCAGTGGATTGGCCCCCCCCTACGGTCAGCCATCTCTTGGAAATAGCCACTATCCCAGAGGTTCCAAAGATCAGCAGTTAACACGGAAGGAAGTGTATTGGATAATAACTCTATTCTGAAGGCGACGACATTTTAGAGTTTATTGCAGATCTAACATCACCACAGATCTGCGATCGTCACGACTACTTCAAGAACTTACCGCAGGACCTCAAGGCGGAAGTCTTCTCTACGCCTTAAAGCCATCTCAAGCCTTCCACAAAGTGATATCCAACATCAATGGCACACTGATTGACTTTGAGAGCAATATTTAGAGTCACATCATTGATCATATGGAGGATATGCTTGATCAGGGTAAGTTACTGAATAGAATAACAGAAGATCTACACAGGAATACTACAATATTATCATCCATCTACCATCAACTCTTATCCTATCCATGTGTTGAACTCATTCGAAACACCTTAACCAGATCAGGTCAAACTTGAATCTGCAATTAAGACGATCCCCTTGAAATGCCATGATCACACTCATGTTCATAGTCTGCCCAATAATTGGGCAACATGTTGTAGGAAAATTGTTCATCCACTTGGCTTTTGCTCCACTGCAAATTATGCCTTCTTCAATTAACGCCAAGAGATCAATTTTTGGTCGCAGACTGTGACCAAATAACCGACTAATATGCCTCGACTAGCCAGATTCTTGGAGCCACAGCCATAGCCAGAGGCAGAGGCAGACACAGAGGTGGAGGCAGAGACACAGTCAGGGGCGAGGCACATTGGATGTGAAACCAATTACCAATTATCTACTGTTTTCTACACAAATTTAACATAATTTGGCCAGTTTTGCGTTCAAATTTGTGGCACAATTTGTGTGGAAGTTGGCTGTGGTCAGGGCCAACCACGCGCCGTCTCTTGAAGAGGGGGTAGGGGGTTGGAGAATGGAGGAGACTCTGACTCCGGACTCCGGACTCCAATTGTGGCCGAAGATTATTATTTTGGCTACCGACTGCCAAATGTATTTCGCATAATCGAAAGTGACCGAACCGCAGATACATATACTTCAAAGATCTTTTGTATGCTGCATGCTGTATGCCCCACGAGTAACGGTCGACGGTCGATGGTTATGTGCACAGGTTGCGGAAAAAAAAGACGTTGGCAAAAAATGATTGATGCCAATACAGCGCCCCGGCTAATACAATTTAAATTTCAGTTAAAGACAAAAGACCAAACAATAGCCCCAGAAAGAAACGAAGAGGCCAGAGAAGCAAAAAACCAAAAAAAAAAAACAAAAAAAAAAGTATTCATGGATACTACTCATGGATTCGTAGATCTCATAGCTTCAACCGCATTTCGCCGAAGGCGTAACACACTCTAAACCGGAAGGGTAATTAACTCGCGTTTGCCGATCACGCCTTTGCATTCAGATCAGACCCAAGAAAACAGATCTTAAAGCCAAACCCGAGCCGAGCGGAGCGGAGATGGATGGTTCGATGGATGACTTGGGTAGGTTACCCAGATAGATGGATAGATGGACAGATGGATGGATGGTTTGGCTTGGGTATATTAAAAAGCTATAAGTTTCGGTTTTGCTTGCTCTGGGCCAATGATTAATAATATGGCAGCCAGTCGTTTTATAGGCAAATGCGTTCACAATTAGTGTTTCGGGGCTCCGACTCCGACTCCGGCCAGGATTGATGGGTGTATAAAGTCTTCGTTTTATGCGGTAATTGAGTGCAGATGAACCAACCTTTTTCAATGGCTTTATTATGCCCACAAAGTGTTTTGGTTTATGTGGTTTTTTTTGTGAGACAAATGTTCCACATAAATGAAGATATTCATTGGGAAACCTTAGAGTAAGGGAAGGCCTCGATCTAATTTTTCTGAGCTCTTTGGAAAGAGAGTATTTCCAACAAAATATGCATTTCTTTGATGTGATTGTTTCATTTATTGATTTTTTTCATTTTTCATAACGATCTTTTCCTGGTTTTCCATAGGTATACATTTACATATATATATATATAATAATAATAATATAATTAAACGTTAAGTAAATGTTATAAAATTGATTTTGTTGTTGGTTTTCGTTTGTTTTTTGAGAATTGCAATAATTAGCTCTAGAAATATGTTAAACTTACAGCGAAATATACTCGTACTCGACTCGCATCATATATAAGTATATATATATATAGTATAGTATGTATACACAATCAAAATGTTCATAAAGATCAATTAGTTAAAGTTAGGATCTTCATTATATTTATGTACAAAGGGCAATTAGCTACAATTTAAGGTGGTTTTAGTAGTAGAGTGGGTGTGTCTATAGTTCGTATATATAGTTCAAATGTATATGGTATATGGTTTACTGAAACATGTGGCTTTCCCTTTAATCCGTAATCCGTAATCCGTAATATCAGAGCTGTATATATACTGCATGCTTCACCGTCTTTTTCCATTGATTGCATAGCTAACGAATAGTGTTTTTTTTCGAACAATTTTACATGGTTAAGTTTTTCGTGGAAATAGAGACTACTTAAACATTAGATTCCCTCTCGGAGGCACGCTTAAGTAAGAGTTAAAGTAAGTTTTCAATGACCTAGCCTAACAATTCAACACTTGGACAACTCTCCCGTACTCCTTCTTGGGTCACTTCTTCAAGTGCTCACTGTAATGGCCTTTCCTCCATTCGTGCTGTTGCTGTTGTTGTTATTGTTGTTGCTGTTGCTGGTATTATTGTTGCTGGTATCCTTGTCGAGATTGACGGACTGACGGGTGGACACGGACAACTGATCATCGCTGCCCGCATACTCCTCCGTGTCGCCATCGGCCCCGCCCAAGCTGTTGGGCGTGTACACGCGATTCATGAAGGTGCGGATCTCGTCGAAGTACTCATCGCGCTCGGCCTCCGCGGAACTGGGGGAGTCCCTGAAGTCGCCAAAGCCCCCGCCCGTGCCGTTGGCGTCCGCCTCGTGCTTCTTCACGTGACGATCGAGATTCGTTTGCTGGCCAAAGCACCGATCGCACAGCTCGCAGCGGAAGGGCCGCTCCTTGTTGTGGATGTTCCGGACGTGGCGCTGCAGGTTCGAGGAGATGCTGAAGGCCCGGTCGCAGTACTTGCAGGAGTACGGCTGTTCGCCCGTGTGGGTGCGCAGGTGGCGCGTGAGGTTCGCGGATCGGGGGAACACCTTGCCGCAGAACTTGCAGGTGTAGCGGTCCTTGGTCTTGAGGGCGCTCGGTGAGCGGGCACTGGCGGTGGCGTAGCGCAACGCCTCGCGAAAATTCACGGGCGGAAGCGGCCTGGTCGAGGGTGTCGAGCAGCCCTTGCCGTTGGCTGCTCCTGCTGTCAGCATCGCCTCAATATTTGGCCGTCCGCCCGTTGGGCATAAAAAAGGAAACGTGCGCTGGGAGAGTCCGGCCAGGGCCCGCGATCGATAGATCTCCTCCAGCAGCAGCGGATGCAGTGGCCGCGGACAGGCCATGGCCGCCGCCGTGGCAGCCTCAGCCGCTCCAGCGGCCGCTGCTGCAGCCTGGGCGGCTGCCACAGCTCCCTCCGACATGCTGCTCATCTCCCCCCCGGCACTTGTGGGCGGCGATGGCGATGGTGTGGGTCCTGGCGAGGCACTGGGCGTGGGACTGCTGCCCTTGTAGGACTGCCGCGACGTGGAGGACTCCCCCGAGCTGTGGCTTTTGCGGCTCTGCTTCATCGGAGGCTCTGCATCCACGTCCTCGTCGGGCAGAAACATGAGCGGCGAAGGCGTCGGCGACGGCGTACGACTGCGGTAGGAGGGGAAACGCTTGCGGCAAATGGACAGATCGAGAGGCAGCTCCGAGGTGGGTTTCTCCGACGTCGAGTCCGTGGGCGGTGGCGTGCTAATGATGTCGATAGATTTCTAAACGAAGGGGAAAACAATGATTAATCACCATTCTCAAGGGGTTTCTGTTTGAGGCGGACTTACCCTATCATCTTCAGCCTGCTGCTGATCGGGCGAGTTCTCCCTCTTCGGCTCCTTCCGCTCCTCAGACTTGAGATCCTTATTGGATTCTTCGTGCTCCATTTTCATATCCCTGGACTGGAGATCCTCCTCGTCTTCGTCCTCTTCGGAGACCTGCAGGAGTGGCTCCGACTTGAGCTTCTTCTCGTCGGGCGTGGAGCCTCGCTCCGCCTTCGCCTGATGATGCTCCTGATGGGGCGACCGTCCGCCCTGCTGTCTCTCCAGATCCAGGGCGAAGGGATGATGGCGGAAGGCGGCATTGGGCGAGGTCATGGGCGGCATGCCGCAGCCCATGTCCATCGGTGGCTTCGGAAAGAAGAGCGGAAAGTTGGCGGCCCTCAGGGGACTCGACGGGAAGATCCCTGGGAGACCATACGGCGGAAATCCAGGGAAGAACGGAGGTCCTGGGCGGAACATGAGGAAGGGATTTGGTGGCGTCGTCATGGCGGCAGCGGCAGCAGCGGCCGCAGCAGCAGCAGATGATGATTCTCCCTGAGAGTCGCTCCCTGGCTGGGGCTGACTGGATGTCGAGGTGGCGGACAACGGATGCTGGTGGCGCCCCAACGGCTGGTTGCGGTACGAGCCCGTGGAGTCGCAGAACTTCTTGTGCTTCGAGAGCGAGGTGACGGTACTGAAGCTCTGGTTGCACTTGGTGCACTTGATCTGCATGCGGCAGGTGGCGTGCATCCGCTTGTGTCGGCACAGATTCGAGAACTGCGTGTACGCCTTGAAGCAGACCTCGCAGGCGAACGGCTTCACCGAGGAGTGGATGTGCTGGTGCTGCTTGAGCCCCGACGAGGTCCCAAATGTCTTGCCGCACTCCGGACACGGATGACAGCGAGCGCCGACGTGGTAGGCGCGAATATGGCGCTGTAGATTCGATGGGTCACAAAATACCTGCAAATCCAAAACAGAAAGAGAGAGAAACGATCAGATCGGAGACAATGAATAACCACGATTGGTTGACTTCGGAATGGTCGGGGAATGGTTATGGTAATGGTATGGTAATCGAATGGCTACGAATGGGTACTCTTAATGGTGCCTGCTGGTGGGTCGAGGTGTGCGTGAAACTTCACGATTGTTTCTAGCAGTGAAGCGTTATGACTACTGATCATTGATCTGCTTCCAGTCCCAATCCAAATGAAATCAAATGAAATGAAACTGAAATTAATCAATCATCTGGTCTGCTCTGGTCTGGTCCGCTGCTGGCTAAACGGATCTTGATGTGTGCTGTGCCTAGACAATGCCCTGACGACGACGACGACGACGACGATCTCCGAGATTACGCAAAAGGTAACCAGATCAGAGCAATCCAATCCACCCACTGGCAGCGGCAGCGGCAGCAGCAGCCAAACACCTTCGTCAATTATTAACATCAATTGCTACAATTGTCATTGCCCGGCCAGGTCGAGCCCATCTAAACCCCTGAAGCCCCTAGCGAATGCGACTCAGGGATGGAGAAAAGGCAAACGTATTCTGTGGCCACGTCCAACACTGTTTAGTGTTGGATAACTATGGCAATGGGGTGGAGTGTTGGATAGTGCTTAGAAGTGGTAATGAAAACAGTGACTATGGAAGCTATATCTTTTGGTTATGGATAATTTTTAACCTACTAGCCCCTATTCAAAGATCTGAGGAAATAGAATTCGATGGATAGTCCCCCTAGTGATAACTGGTGACTTTTAAGATCATTCTGATAGAATTTCCTTAGCCTTGAGCTATCCCAGAAATATTCAGATAACTATTTGGATTCCTCGAGTATCAGAAACAGTGACACTTGCTCCTCCAGTGACACGCACACGCCCACACAAATCCGTGACTTTTCGACCAGCCCTAGATTATAGCCGAAAATATTGAACCCAACCCCAAGTACATATTTTCCACTGCTGGATGGCTGGATGAGGGACAGGGGGGAAAACGCAATGACAGATCGGACCAAAGAAGACGAGGATGCGGGGCCCGAGGGAGCTTTGTGGCAGGCAGCCCAGGCATCCAGTTTTTGTTGTTTTTCTTTTATTTTTTACCCACTTCAAACTTGATTTCGGTCAGCAGCCGCCTCCACCCGCGCTCTGGAGCTGCCTTTTTACGAAACTGTTATGCCTAATCATGCTGTCATAATGCGCTACGAATTCATATCAAACGATGATCGAGGCAGCCTTTTTTGTCTATGGTTATGACTCCCCGAACTGGATGCGAGAGTGGAGAGACGGGGACCGTGGACGGGAATGGGTACGGGTACTGAGCCACACAAAAGACAGCCAGAGAGAGAGACGACGGAGGAGAGAGAGGGTCAGGGAGATAGAGAGGCTGCTGCTGCCGATGCTGCGGCGACATACAAGAATAGCTCGTGCTATAACTACATCAAATGGATTAGATTCAACTACTCTCCAAAAAGGCGAAAAGCGCCACAAAAGACAACGACAACGACAGCGACAGCGACGACGACGACTACAACTACAACTACAACGTTGGAGCCACAACTTAGAGATGAAAAGCAGTCGAAGCCCCCGGTGGGATAGGTGTAGGTGTTTTGGCATTCGGGCAGCAGCAGCAGCAGCAGCAGCCCCAGCAACGATCCGGGGTCGCAGGAGGAGTACGCCGAGAGTAGTACGTACTCGCACTCAAGACGAGATCTGAGCCAGGCGGTTGTTGTTGTGGAATGCGATTGTCTCGGAGAGTGTCTCGGAGTATGGACTGGGGCCACGACCAGCTCTCTTGGGAGCGTACGTGGGGTCATTTAGGGCGTTTCCAGTGGGGGTAATGCCTGAAGATGCGATCACTCTGGTAGCCTAATGGAGTTACGACTACTGGATAGAGTCTGCCATGGGCAAAGGTAGGTACATATGGGCAGCATAATTAATGCCTAAAGATGGGTTTTCATTTAGTGGAAGAGACCCAAGGAAATACTAAGGTTTTCTAAGGAAAAGTCCCTGAAGAAGAGGTGCAATTTCCGGCTAGAGTTGCAGAAGTTGGGCAGAACTGAGCTGCAGGAATGGACTGAATGTTTGTACTATAGTAGGACATTCCCCAGTAACGATTACCCTCCTATAGATCAGGTCTTTCTCTAGAATTCCTACAATACATTTCCTCGCTCAAACCCAGAGTCACAGATCAACTGCCTCATCACACGGCTGGCTGGTTGGGGCTGAGGCTAAGGCCCGACAACAAAAACCTTGTAGATCCATGGCAAATCCCTTTTGAAACGCTTTAAGCTTGCTGCTTAAAACAAACAAAGCTGACAGCTGCAGACCCCGTTTTTGGGCGGGCTGTCAGACGATGGCCGAGAAGAGAGTGCCGGATTCGGAGTTACGGACCCCAGCGAAAGTACGAGTATGCCCTTTTACCGTAAAGATCGATCATCATTTGTTTAGGCCGAGTGGCTCCCGTTTATGTCCATGTAGGAGTAGTGCTGCTGCCAGGGTAGAGGCAGAAGGGGGACCCCACCACAATGCGTGCTACTTACATGCCACCGAAACAATTACTGAGCGCTAAGTAAACTAACTGTAATGCCCCCTCCCCCTCGAATGGGAGGGGAGGAGTTGGGGCAAAGACATTGCAGCGATTGAAATACCGTTCGATTTGGAAATGTAAAAAAAAAAAAGGGAAAAGCCAAAAGAAAAGGCCCCAATCTGAAGCTGAAGCTGGAGCTGGAGCTGTTTCTATGGCTGAGCAATGCGACCACAAGATTGTAATCAACATGCCATTAAAACATCTTTGGAAGATGTCGAAGCCGGAGTCGTCGTCGTCTTCGATGACAATGACGAAGTGCGACGCATGAAACGATTCGATTCGATGGATGGATGGTCGGATGATTGGACGGATGGCTGGCTGGATAGATGGATGGATGGATGGCTGCCTCAAGTCCGGGCCCTTTAATTTCGCTTTGGCATTCAAATGCAGCCCAACGAAGATGAACACAATAAAAGAGCTTCAGCCTCAATTTCGATGTAGATCGGAGATCGGGCACCGGGGATCGGCGAGTCGATTGAGAGAGGGGTTAACAAAGTTTCTTCATTACCATGGAGAGGTCTTAAGTGTTTTGGATGAGTACACGCCCTGATTTCGTATTGCAAGTAAGCCGGCCAGCGCGTGCGGCTCTAAGAGTCGGGTTTGGACACTCTCCAAACGGTTTCTTAAAAGCCAAGTTAGCGGCGACGGCGGCGGCAGCCGTTGAAGCGCCTCCGGCTATTGATCTGCTAGAAATCAAAAGTCTTTTTATGTTTTCCAGCCACCAGAGCTGATACAATAATTAATGACTGGCCGATATCGTCATGGCATGAGCCACAAGAAGACCGAACACCGAACACCGAACGCCGAAGGTTGCCGATCCCAGTAGCCAGTGATCTATCCCCAAACAATACCTTTGTAGATCTTTGATCTTTGATCTATAAAATTGTTAGAATTTTTGGTTATCTTAAGCTGGCTTCCTCGTTCATCTAGTTCTGCAGAGACAAGTGATGGTTGAGGGTATTTATCTACTCTTTTGATCCCCAAAATAGACAGATTTCTCCTGAATCTGGGAGAGTGGAAAAACAGCACTTACCTTGCTACAATTCTCGCAGGAATATTTCCGTATATTATTGTGGGATATCGCCTCGTGTTTGATCAACAAAGGACGATGGCTGAAGCGCTGGGCACAGAGTTTGCATGGGAATTCGTCCTGCTTGAAGTGATGGGCGCCCACCAGATGATCGTCCAACCTGCAATCGAAGGTACAACAAAATTATGCATAAAATTAGTCAAAGAGGAAATGGCAGGGGTTCCTTGGGGGGTCCCTCTCCTTCCCGGCCTTCTTTCTTATCTGACTAACTGTCATCAGCAAATGAAATTAGCATTGTGACATTTTGAGGGCCTTGCTTTGCTTTGATAGCTGCTTCCCAATCGCCGTTCTCAATCAGAGCCGGAATCGGAATCGGAGTCGGAGTCGGAGTCATGTGCGGCAGTTCACACGCCCCGAGACGCCTTTGTTTGTTGGCCAACTGGGGGTACCGCCCCCGCGACTCCACGGGCGTCAATTAGTCAAATGATGTTCAATATTTAATATGCTCGGAGATGATAAGAGATCTGGGCTTGGGCCAGGAACAGCTGTGGCCAATGAGTGTGTCCCTGTGTCCTTGCAGAGCTTTGCTGCCGCGATCCTTATCGCAAGGGGCGTGTGTTTCTGCGTGTGTGTGTGTGTGGGGGTGTGTGGGGGTGGGTGGAGCGATGTCGACAAGAGGCGGCAACGATTTCCCTTCATTCTTTCTTTTTTTTTTGTCATCGTCATGGAAGAGTTGGACGATACAGTCAGGACAGTCCAGAGTCGCAGTCCCACTGCCATCCTGGCTGGCTGCCTGCTTTTGAAGTGTGGGCGTTTGTTTGGCTTACAACAATAGTCGGGGCTAAGGCAGCCAGAGGAGAGAGGGGAGAGGGGGGAGGGGTAGGGGGAGACTGTGTGCATGTTCGACATCAGATAAATCGGCCAAAAGCCAGGGCGAGCGTGGACAGACACGCAGACATTGCGGACATAGCTTCCTTTCCATCATTCGGGCCGTGGGTCTCTCTCCTCTCTCTGCTCTCCCCTCATGTAAAATTCAATAAATCACACATATACGGTGGGGGGGGGGGGGAATCCCTCTCCCACCCACTGCACTGGCGAGGTGTAACGGGGAAAACGAAACGGAAAACTCGTACCAGTTTTCCGCCCCCAAAGCCCAAATCAAAGCTCGCTTTTGGCACTTCAACTTAAATATATATCCATCTATCTACTGATATATACACACAGATACTCCGCTCTGTGTGTGTGTGTGTGTGTGTGTGTGTCATTTGCGTGCTGGCTGTACTTCATTTATTTATTACAACGCAAAACATTTGTAAATATTGGAACAAAACTTTTGCATTAAGTACTTGTCGGCGCAGGGAAGTGGCACTAAATGGGCAAATGATTACACATGGAGGATCAGAGCCACTCAAGTGATGAACTAGTGGGTTTTGGGGGGGAAGGGACACACTCCTACCACACATAGGTACCTCTAAAAGAGCTCTCTAAAATGGGGACTGCAGAACTTCCTCTACTAGTCACTTTTTCTCATAATCCTTACTTTTACTCTACCATTTTGCCCATCCTGTACCGCTTTAGCTACCAAAAACGAGCCAAAAATTAAGCCAACTTGAAATTGAAAACCCGAACGAGCCGAATGCAGCTTTAAACTTCAGTTAACACCTACAGATTGCACATTTGGGCCCATAAAAAAAAAAGCCAATCATGAAACGTACCGAAAAGCCAGGCACAAATCAAGACCAAGACCATTTCATTCCGTTTTGATTGGAGCCCAAAAGCCAGTACTCTCACTTTCGGTGGACCGATACGAGTCGGTCTTTAATGGCAGTTTTATTGGCCGTATTTATCGGCATCAAGTTTTAATTAAGATCTCCCATCCCAGGCGGCAGGCGGCATACGGTAGATCACACAGAGCGCAGCATTTAGCCAACATTTGGGAATACTTTTGTTTTTTTTTTTCTTTTACCAAATTTTGTTTCTCGTTCTACACAGATTTTATGAGCCGCAGAGCTCTTTTTGGCTTGGTTTGGTTGCGCACCCATAATTCTTTTTCGGGTAAGTTGGAAGCTAATTGGTGGCTTGTTTTTTGGCGGGGGTCTGGGGGGCGGTCTGGGGTCTCAAAAATTTGATTTAGATTATTGCCGCGATGCTGTTTGGCTGTTTAAATGCCAAAGCAATTTGGCAGAGATGCAGACATTCTCCCGCGAATCAGTTGGGAGTGGGTGATCGCGGGGTGTGGGGGGGTGGGGGGGCGTGTACTCACCGTTCTAAATCCGGATAGACTTTATCACAGACCTCACAGCGTATGTCGAAACCGTTCTCGTCGTCTGTGAAATCAATATCGCCTTGACTGATTAGCGATGAGTTTTTCTTATCTTTGGAGAATTCGTCGCCGCTGTAGAGGGAGCCTAGAAGAAGAACACAAAAGAATTAGGTCTAGAACATCCAGTAAATAAATCTCGGAATTTCCCTATCACATCACTTGAACACTCACACGATCTTCGTTAGTTTTTGCTAGGATCCTACACTTTTTTTATGGGCGGTTTGAGGAGGAGTCGGGAGGAGCACTTGACACAACCGTTCGGTTTCGCGTTTGAGGAACAAGTGTGTCGCTGCAGGAGCATAATGCCGACGAGCTAATGTTTTGTTTGCCCGCTAACAATCTGCGGAAGGACCTGCTGGACGCACTGACATATGACCGACCCGACCGACCCGACCGACCAACCCTCCCACCCTCCCAGCCACACACACACACACACAGGCACACACACACCTGGGCAAACACGCAAACACTTAACACAAAATTGGTAGCAGAGACAGCGCCAGCGACAGCGATAGCGACAGCGACCAAATCGTGTGTGCACTCATATATAGCACTCGCATTGCTTGACGTTGAATAGATAATTGTCCCGAATGTCCCGAGTGTCCCGAGGTAAGTGCGCGGTAAGGTAAGGTAAGGTCTAAGGGCAGGCCAAGAGCAAGAGCTAAAGCACCCTCCTGTAGGGCTACTAACTTGGCCAACTCCTGACGGCAGGCCGACACACGATGACAATTCCAAGGGGAAATGACTATTAAAGGTTGAGTTAAGGAGAGGAGTTCATGGGGTGGACTGGGCACTACCACCAGGTGACACAGCAGCAGCAGCAGCAGCAGGAGCAGCGCAGGGCTAAGGGATGATGGCGATGACCAAAGATTATGCATGCAAACACATCCAAAGGGTCACCGGTCACCCCCTTAGCTCTCTTTCCGTTCAGATCGGTTCCGTTGGACTGATTTCGTTTCAAAAGTCATATAGCACCTTACCCCGACACACACACACGGAAAACTTTCGCTCGGTGCACGTTGCACGTTGCACGGTGCACAGGTGTTGCCTCTCAAGGCAGCCCACACTCCTCCCACCCCCCCACGTCACCGGGGGTGGCCCACCCTTGGCCAACATTATGAATATATATGCTCTGGCTTTGAAGTAATTGCTGTTTGGGTCAAAAGTTAATTTTCAGCGTGTGCAATATGGTCAAAGAGGGCACACACACACACTCTGGAGTCGTTAGAAGATTCCCACGTAGTCGTAGTCGCGTCTCTCCTTGTGGCCTGCACTTGAACTTAGAGCCACCTTATGGCAGGGGGGTGGGCAGCGTGGGATAGTAGGGAGCATAGCCCTAGGGGGTGGGCGCATAGGTAGGAGCACAGCCTTCAGGGGGGAGGAGTAGGCAGGACGGCGACAGATGGTGTTCTTCGAAGGGTTCGTTCGTTCTTGGGAACCCAGAAGGTTGTGCTCTAAAGATCGGCGATCTTTGGGATATTTGAATGGAAAGAAAGAACTTTTCGAAGCTACAAATTTCGAGACTTTTCTTCTGGAAAGAGGTTTTGGTTCTTGAATACCTTCCCCATTAAAATCCAATCCAACTCCATTCAATTGATCACATGTACCCTCCACCCTTTCATCATCAATGCCTTATCATTTAACAACTGCCCCGCCCCTCGTGGCACAGGGGCCTCCAACAATCCTTTCACGCCTTTCACCAGATCCCGATCTCCCTCCCAGTCGCAGTCCCAATCCCAGTCCAAGTCCAAGTCCTCCATCTATCTATCACTCGCCTCAAACAGCTGCTGTCGCTCTCCAAGCGGACAGATTGATTTACTCGCCCAACACGGCTGACAATTCAATGGATCTATTGTCGGCCCCGTTCAGATTTTAAGTCTGGGCGAATCAGGATGCGGAATAAAGAGGAAACAGATGAAGTATCGTATAGGTGTTTGGGGCAGGGAGTAAAACTCTTTGACATGCCAATTACATATCACAGAAGCTGGCAGTGGCTGCTGCCTGGCTTCCAAGTGCCACCGGCTGACCCTGAAATGAAGTCTGAACAGGGGCTCGGAGCTCGGAGCAGGGAGCAGGGAGCTCGGAGGAGGGGCGTTCCTAGTTAAACGGAAGCCAAAACTGTTGACAAATGATTGATTGAATTATTTACACCTTACAACTGGCTCGCTGCCGTTGTTGGTGCTGCAAAATCCAGAGTTAGATCCGCCTGCTAATCGATTTGGCAGCAACAAAAACCAACAGCCCATAAAAAAAAGGGTTAGGTCCCCCGTCCGTGCCTGGGTAGCACTCCTAATGATGCCCAAATTGACACACGATGATCATTTAGCCGAAGACGCGACACGAGACAAGCCGGGTTTTTATTTATTTTTTTTTTTTTCAATTTTCGATTCGAACTCTGTTTTTGGTTCTCTGTTCTCTGTTGTTGTCGGCTCATTAATCATCCATCAGATTTGGCTGGCGACAATGTGTCAATCCGTATCAATCCCCTCCGCTTGTGCCTCTCGGAGTTAGTTAAGATTTCGCTTATGGGCTTGGTTTTCTGCTCTTTGGCGTGTGTTCTATTCGAATCACACACGAACGTAGTATCTAAATGTGACGCCTGGTGTCCATAGTTTGTAGTTGGTTCCATTGTCTGATTGGTCGATTGAAGACTTGCCGCGTCTTAAGCCGAAAGCCATCTCAAAAGACTCTTTGGGGAATGGTTTTCGTTCAGGGGGAAGTCAAGGTTTGGTCAGAGTTGACATGTTTGTGGGTTGGTTGGTGGCTCTGTTTTTCGGGCGAACGGCTTGAGAGTCAAGGAAATGAAAAGGGGAACTGTTTTAAAGGTTTTCATTGAATTGAGGTCTCTATATTGATTTGATTTATGAGGTTTATCATTTACGGAAATCCTTGACAGTTTTTAAAGGTCTTGTGGGCAGGGAATGTCGGAACTATTTCTGCCTTAATAAGATCTTTAGAGAGCTCCATAGATCGCTGACTTTTCTATCAGATGTGGCGGGAAATACACCAGGAATCTCTAGAGAATTTATAATTTAAATTAAGCTTTCTTTTGAATCATTTAGACCTTAAATTCGGTTTGATGATAAGTTTCTTCCTTAAATTTAGGTCCTCTATATATTTTTTTGTATTTTAAAATTAATTCTCTATATCTTTTCCCTAATATACAATCCTGATTTGTTTAGTTCAGAATGAAAATATAAATATATTTCATATAGTTCCAAATAAACCCCCCAAAAAGTTCTTTCTAGATCTCTTGCAAATATATTTCCATACCGTTCCCATGCTTTGCTGTAGAATTGTTTCCCTATCGAAATGCCTGTCCCACTCCTCCCAAAACATTTGCATTTTCCCGCCTGGAAATTCCCATAGTCGACGGAACAGAACCTTCATTATGTATTCCAAAAAAACAAATGTAACGGTCTAAAGTCGACGGAAAAGAAACCCTCCCAAAACCCAACGCGATCTTTTGCGAGCGTTGCAACCACACCACAACTCCTCCGATCACTCCTTGCCACCTCCCTTGTCGCATGGCGGTGCCACCCCCGTGCGGCACAGCGATCGCTCGCCGCCCCTACACCCATCTGGTGGGCTCAAGGACCTCGTCTTCTGGCCTGAATTTCCCTGCTCCTGCTCAGCGGACCATGAGCTGGGAGAAAACTTGTCAGAAAATACGTTAAAAATGTAGAGTCAAGCGGGGAGTCCTTCACAGGTGTCCGTGGCCGTGGCCGTGGCCGTGTCCGTCGGGAAAACGCAGGGAGTGCAAGCTCTGTTTAGGGTTCGGTTTCGGGCTGGGGTTCGGGTTCAGGCGAGTGGTTTTGACAGGACTGTGACTTAGTCCCTGGGCTGGGCCGGGCTTGGGTTTAATTGAATTGAAAAGTATTCAGATATGGCAAAAGCAACTATGATCTGCAGATAAGCCCAGCGACAAGGAGCATATGGAAGTGTCCATTAAATTCATTAAATATTCAAATTTTAAGCTGACTCCTGCGAGTGAAAACACTTTTTCGAATGCAAAATATGAGATTTAAATGTCCGATAAACGGGAAAAGAGTGTGAACAAAGGCCGAGCCATAAATCCCACATGTTTATAATCAAACACGCCTCGAAAACCCAAAGGGGATGCATGTGGCAGTGGCAGTGGCAGTGACAGTGGCAGTGGCAGTGTCGAGCCCTGCACGGGATTAGGCTTAAATTGAGCGTGTGCCATTTCGACGCGCAATGCGTATCGCTAACATCATCCGAGCCTTTGTTTGATGATGGATCTCTAATGAAATTATCAAACATTTTAATAACAAATGAAAACATGTGCGGTTGCCTTATATTGCACGGGCGCATGCGCAACACACAGGAACGGCAGCAGGAGGGAGCACAAAGGGTGCTGCAATAGGGGTGGAAATATAGGGAAGCTGTACGTGCGTGTGCGTGTGCGTGTGCACCCTCATAAGCTGTCGTCGGGTGCTGCTGGGGATCTGATTGCAGGATCTGCGTCTACCGTGCCGCTCGTGCCACAGACCGACAGCTCTGTTAATTGCCCTTCGCACCGCCACCACACACAGCTGGCTGTATCTATCTGCTTATTGGACACACCAGCATCACATCGGGGCTATGGGGTATTGTGATATATTAGCACTCACCATTATCTCGATCGCTTCGATCGTCGCTGGGTAATGAACTCCCCCCGCCGCTGGTGGCTCCCGAGGCGACTGCTGCCGCGGCTGCGGCTGCTGCGGCGGCTGCTGCTGCCGCCAGGACCCCGCCGCCGGCCATAAAGTTGTCATTGATCTGGTACGGAGTCTTGGGCCGGCCATCGACGACCATTTCACTGCCTGCATTGATGTACCGATTCGTTTCGTACCACAACTGCGTGTGAAAGGGGGAGATGAAAAACGACACAAAAAATGCATTTGATAATTGTAAAAAATTGTCCCAAAAATTAGTGAGAGTGCCTGCAGGCACGCGTCCATGCAGTTGTGGTGGTACTTACACAGCCGCCCATTATGTAATTGTGTAAATTAGCCTCTTCGATGCACTCGATGTCCTTCACGGATCGGATTTTCTTCAGCCACGTCGACACGTCCGATGTGGGCTCGAGCCAGCCATTAAAGTTGGGTCCAGCATGGGCCTGCATCAACAAAAGATTTTTCATTTAATATTAATTTGTACTTTTTTAATGATTTTTTATGGATTTTATCAAAATTTAAACAAAAATTTGTAAGGAGTACAGCTGCCGCCATCTGTGGCGGTAGCTAGGCAAACTGTGCTATTTATCATAGTTTGTCTTGGCTAAGCCAACACACAAACCAATTCAGTTGTTATACAGCGTAAAAAGTAGAAGTTACTTGTGTTACATGTAGAATGTAAATTTCGATTATTATATGGACATCTTTTTTTAATAGTTTTTAAAAATTATTGCCTTTTTCAGTGGGAAAGCTTGTGTCCTGGGAACTGTAGCGCATAAAAATATATATGTAAAACTACTTCCAGACGAGACTGGGGACACATTAGTGACTAAAAACTCCTGAAAACTATTCTAGTATCCTTCATTCAATAACTTCTACTGCATTTCAGCCCCCATTGTGGACCACTCGCCGTTTAACCATCTTTTACGACCCATTATCCGCATTATCCACACTTAAAGCCAACGCAGCAAGACGCCTTCAACGACTCTGCCGCCCTCAAGTCTGCCCACAACATCAAGGTCAATTACTGCACAGCATGGTGGGCGACGGGGCGAGGGGGGTCGGGGGAACTGCAGCCGCATAACAAAAACAAAAACAAAAAAACCGCCGACGGTTTTTGTGTACAAAATAAAAGCAGCGGCGCCAACTGCAGCCAGCGAAAAACAAGGCAAAAAAAAGGCAGCTAAAATACGCATAATTTAAACAAATCGTTAACTGCGACTCGACGGCAGCGGCGGCGGCGTCTCGGCTGCCAATGGGAAAACTGCCTTAGACGCTGTGACGCCGAAAGTTCGAGGGGGGGGAAATAACACACACACTCACACACACACAGAAAATCAAAATCAAAATCGAACAAGCAGAAAAGGCTGGCTTTCAAAGTCGATGGTGAAGATACTCTTGCAGGGCCGAAAGATATAGTAGATCTAGCCTTTGCTTGAGGGAGGAAAACATATAATGCTTCAACTTTTAAATTTTTGTTTATATTCTAAGGAAACAAATCAGTTTTCCTACAAAGAAATATAAGCCCAAACTCCATTTAGTAAGACTGAATTCGTTAAGGGGATATTTTTGCAAAAGGGGAATAGATATAAGGTCTAATAATGGTATCAACGAAAATTAGAAGGATTTCACAGATATATGAGAATTAGTTGGACTAGAAATATTTTCTACTACTTTTCAAGAATTTTATTGCAATTAACGTTGAGAAAAGGATTAATTGTGATACAATCTAAGCAATTGCGATAGGTATACATATGTAAGTAGAAGGAAGGAATCAAGTAGTAGGAACTATGAAAAGTCTAAACAAAAAAGGCTTTGAAATACATTGATGGCCACATTGATTGTCCAGAACAGTCTAATCAAGAATCAATGTTATTTTTGCTTCTTTTGATTGAAGTCTTAAACCCCATCTTAGGTCGTAATACCCTTCCCCAAAAAAAGAGTATGTAAATCAAACCAAAAACCACAATTGTTATTGACTGAATGACTTTGCGTATGCGCAACGTTGAAGCCGTCGCTGCAGCGGCCACCGTCGACAGCCGCAGTCGCAGCCACAGCCGTCGCCGTCGCCGTCAGCCTCTTGTCTATCAAGTCATTTGGAAAAACGGCATTTTACAGTTTATTATTAAGTGGTATATGTGTGTGTGTGTGCATCTCTGTGTGTGTGTGTGTGTGTGTGTGTGCCTCGATGAGTGGGAGAGTCTGGAGTGTGTGTATTATACAGGAGAGAGGAGAGCAGAGGAGAGGAGAGAAGAGGAGAGAGCATGGCGTACATCAAGAGAGCCTGCTGCCACATGTATGTGGTGCACGCTCCAAAAATTAAGTTAACAACGTTTCAAGAGGCCTCTTGCGCCGTGGCATATGCAGGGAAAATATATATACACGTATATATGTACCAGCAACAACAAATTAATATAGAAATAAACTTTATATTTGAACGAGATGCGGTCCTGCCAAAGGGGATGCGGTGCGGGCGGGGCAGTGGCAGAGGCAGACCTCAAGAGGTTCCTCAAACAAGTAGGTTGCCACCGTCTGCGTTTGATGTTGCAGAAGGACACAAGTTATAGTTGCAAAAAGAAAAATATAAATAATTGGAAGGGTTGGGCTAGAGGATTTGTTGGGCGTGCCATGGGAGGAGGCAGCAGAGGCTTCAAGGATGAAAAACTAGGTGCGAAAGGAGATATAGAAATAGGAGCGTAAAAAGGTTGTACTCGTAGAAGAGCTAGAGATTAAAACTAGGTGGAGAAAAGGTGCTTTCAAAACTCGAATCAGCTTAAAGGAGATGGTTTTGATGAGTATTTCGAAGAAGATCTATTCGAAGTTGAAAGAGGTTCTTCCCTAGAAGGTTCTCTATGGGCATCCCTTTACTTCGAACTTCCTCTAAATGTTTTGGCTCTTTGGCTTTCCTCCTATGTTTCCACATTCTGGGAAGGAGTAAAGAAGTCCCTCAGGTTCATCCATTTATGGTTTAACACCTCATAAACCTACTTCTTCCTCTGCCAATCTACTGCTCTATCAAGTTCCCATTGACAAGTACCCTTTAAAAGTTCCACAACAGCTGCCTCAGCCCCGCAGCCGCGAAGGAAAGATACAAATCAGATATGTGAGATCGTCTCAAGACAATCTTTAGGCAAACTCACATGTCCGTTCCAACGGAAACTGCAACGCGAGACAGTCACTAAAAAAGATACGATCATCAGGATATGCACAGGATCCATGACAGGACTGTGCCAATGATTGCTGACAATTGCTCTGTCTGGGGCTTAGACAAACACAGACCCACAGTGGCTATAATCCCCGGCGCAGGCATCACACATGTCCTCCCTGGCTAGGGGCTATTCATAACTTTATTAAAAAGGAGGCCACAGCCTGCGAGGTGAGGAGAGGAGAGGAGAGGAGGCAGCAAAACATGACACAGTCAATGGGCAAGAAAAATATTTACGCGCCAGAGATAATCTCAAAGTGTTGGGTTCACACACCGCACAGATCGCAGAGAGAGAGAGGACAGAGAGGACAGAGAACTGGCTTCGAATTGCCAGAGATCTGTGAGGATAGAGGATCTGGGATTGAGGATCAGGCATGGAAACGGTAGCAGATACACGGCCAATGTATCTGTCAAAACGGAAATGTGAACGGGAAAAGTGCGCTTGATTTGAGGATCATCCAGAAATAAAAGGCTGCTGCGAACGAAGGGACCGCCAGAGAGATCAGTACAATTCCGTTTCAGTTCCTTTGCTTTGGTTTGCTTTGGTTTGGTTTATTTTTGCAATTTCCAGTGGCTCGAGTGGCAAATACCTGAATGACAGAGAGAGATCCCTTTTTCGGCTACAAATTGTCAACAGGACTAGGCGCGATAATTTGATTGGATTGTCTGTCAGGCAGAGAGGATGGCCGTGAGGAGAAGAGGGAGGGGATCAGGGGCGCAAAAGTGTCAGTTGACTGACTGACTGACAATCAATCGAAGGGTTCATCGGGAGGACCAGGACAGAGGACAGGGACAGGGACTGGGACAGGGAGAGGGCCTAATTGGAATCATCAGCCGGCCTCAACTTAAGCCTCATTTAGGGTACACTTTGTGGATTTTCGTCCTGGTTGCATGCCTCGTCGGGCGCGGCAGTAAGGAAGCTAAATTAGCTCTGGCCAGGGATTAGGCCCATTTGACTGACAATTGATACCAGCCCCGTTGCCGTTTCCCTTCGCCTCTAATCAAATCTTTTTCCAATCGTTTGATTTTCTATAGAAAAGCACCCAAAAAAAAATGCGAGAGTGCATGATATTCATTTCGGTTGCAATTTTTGTGCAATTTTCGCACATAAAAATGGGCTCTGATGGGATTAAATTTCCCCCGAAACAACGGAAATTTGAGAATGCCAAAATGCGGACACATGTGAAAGGCTTAAGGTCCGTTTTTGGTCGAGAGGGATGCCAGGCAAGGACAGTTTTGTGGTGGAAAGAAATTCAGTTTTTTTGGGTGGAATTTGCAGAGAATTTTAGTTGTATTTTGGGGACAAAATGGCTACATTTTCCCATACAAATACACTCACCTTCCATGCCAGCTGAGGATCGTTGGGCTGATGGCAGAGCTTCACGGGGAAGGGCCCGTAGCGGGTGCCACGCTGCAGATGCGTCTTGGCGTAGACGCCACTATCACGGATATCCAGATCACAGACAGGTTCGCGCCGGCGGGCCCACTCCTGGAGGAGCTGCTCCGCCTGGGCCTGGTCGTTGAAGAAGTGCTCCATGCTGGAGGCGGCCGAGGAGCCGGCCAGCGGCAACGTGGGCGGCGGTGGCTGCTGTTGAAGCTGGTGCTGGTGGTGCTGCAGATGCTGCTGATCTTGTGGCTGGTGCTGCAGATGTGGCTGCGACTCCAGGGGCGGCGAGGTGGAGCCGGGCGCCTGTGGCGGCAGGTGGTGGCGGGTGGCAAACGAGGGGGAGTCCTCGCCGGGAAGCTGCGTGTGATCCGGCAGGGGACCGAAGGCCGGCGCCCGCGTGCTGAGATCCAGGTGATGGTGATGATGGTGGTGGAGGTGGCGCACAACACTCGGATCGTAGTCGTCGCCGTTAGAGCCTGTGCGGGGAGAGACAGAGATACAGAGATACAGATTAGAGGTGACTTTCCGGACAGCGACAGCAGCAGCAGCAGTAATCCTAATCAGCAAATGCCTGTCATGTCAGCCCAAAATAGAATAGATACGGACACGGAGGCACCCTCAAGTTGCGATGACAATCGTTTCAATTTTCCACTCCCCTTTCTATCTATCTCTTCAGTGATTTTGCAATTGGCCCCACAGTGCAGTGCCCAGTGCCCAGTCCAATGCCCAAAATAATGATTGACAGCCTCACGCAGTAGGCAAGACAAGGCCTATCACTCTGTCAATGCCTATCATCCATCGCGGAGCACTACTATCTCCAGGCGACATGTGTCTCCCTAGCACTGGAAGGGGCCTGGGCCCCCGCTTACGGAAGAGTGTTCTTAGGCAGCCCCAACATTCACCTGAAACATCTCCGATTACACAGCAACTTGAGCAAATAGCATCTGGATAAATATCACACGAAAGTATTCCAAATATTGCAAACAGAAGTTTCTTTTTTGATATGAAATTACACAAGTATTTCTGCTAATGAAATTAATAACAATTAATCGATGTGCCAGTGTCTGACATTTGCCGATTGACTAGATATATTCCTTGGGGATGGAACAGCTTAATCGATGGACTAGATAGAGCACATCCGATGACAGTAAAGTCAGGGCTTGCTTGAAGGGAGAGCCAATCGAAGGGGGGGTCTAGAGTGACAGCTAATTCAAGGGTATCTATGGAGCCATATATGTATAAAGACACGCACAAATTACCCGTCGATTATTGGTATTTGTCTTACTATCTGGCTAGCGGGGTAGCGGGGGGGTATCGGGGTATCTGGGGTGGTGTTTGCTGTTAAGGTTCTTGTCTTGTCCATCCGCCTTGTTCGAACACTTGAAACTAAATCGTAATTTGAGCTGTTAGACAAAATATGACAACGCGTCGAAGCGATAACAAACAGAACAGAGAACCGACAACCGACAACCGACAACCAAGAACCAACAACCGACAACCGACCACATTACTGGTCAACAGGCAGCAATGCAGATAAGTATCGGCCATATAAATAACCCACAGGCCAGGGAAACAGGCAAACAGTTCGGTGGAATACAATGGGCCACTGGTCAAGCGGTAAGGTAAGGTGCGGTGCCGCACATTTCGCACATCCTTGAGGATCCTGTGGCACGATCTGTTTGAACAGGCATCGCACCGTCCAGCGAAAGGCCTTTGAAGTGGCCCTCGAGAGCCGCGCCCTGCCCTCCATCCTCGCACCTACTCCAGGGACCTACTCATCTCTGGATCGGAGTCTGGAGTCCCCTCCGGCCTGGCTTTGCTCTGCTTTGGTGATTAGTTTGGTTCTCTTTTGGGTGGGATTGCCTTGCCATTCAATTATTCACTTTTACTTAAGCACAAGTGTTTTCCCTTTTGTTCGGTAGGGTTCCGTCGTCCCTGGGCTAATTTGCTTGTTTAGGTAATCACATTTGGCTGATAAAACCCGGCCATAAATGGTTAATTGCAACTGCGACTTGATAAGCCAGGTAGGGCCACGATTCTAAGGGGTGCGAGGCGCAAGTTTGTAATGGTTTTAGCTCGAAGGCAATGCTCTCAGAAGGGCTGAGATGTTCTTGGCAAAATGTTGCACAATCTTATCTGATTGGGGCTTTTATTTGGAAAGAGAAAGTCCACGAATGAATCAATCTATTGGACATCTATTAGGCACTAAGCACTGGGCACTGAGCACTCGGCACTTGGCTGTTTACTCATCAGCGATTGTTCCTCATACGATTCACACAATAGATAGTCTTCCTGAATCACTACTCGAATCGCAATTGTTGCTCAGACTTGGGCCAGAAATCACAGACTGAATCGAAGGTAAGTGGGCCTTTTTCCCTTTAAGTCCCGGCCACCAGATACAGCTGGCTGCTGGAGCCGTGAGACCAACCTGATATGACATATCGATCGAACAGCATGATTCCGTTTATACTCGTGGATTTCACTTAGTAATTATCACAATATCAACAATACTTTTTCATAACACACGTCGCGACATGGCCCACACACCGGAGGCGCCGATGGGTGCTGGGTGCTGGGAGCTGGGGGGTTTTCTTTTCCCAATAAACTCGAGTTTATATTGAGGTTTTCCTTTCGGTTTTCTTGGGGATTATGGTTTGGTTTGGGTGTCGTCTTTATCTGCCGGTTGTCTCCGCAATACTGATTACCACGAACGGATACGCAACGGATAGCGCGAAAAAAAACCAAACCTACTCGCACGGATGGAAACTCAAACGTTGACTGCGACGGCAACGGCAACGACTGCGACGGCAACTGCGACAGCAACTGCGACAGCGACGACGCGGACAGAGACTGTGACTGAGACTGTGACTGGGACTGAGACTGTGATTCCGATTGCGAGCGAGCTCTGCAACGAACTGAATTGACTAGAGGTGATGATGGGTCTGGGTCTCGGTCTGGGCTGTGTCCGGGGTCTGGCCTCGTCTCTGGTTCCGGACAAATGGGAATTTTCGTGTAAATGGCAGGGAGTCCACGGCGAGCATCTCTTTTTGGGTTGGTTGTTTTGTGTTGCATTGGGTTTGGGTTCGGTGGTGGTGGTGGCAGCATCGTCCTCATCATCTCATCCCATGATCGGGAGGACCGATGATGACTGTGTATCTGTGTATCTTCCCATGGCAAACAGCAGGGGATGAAAAGGAGAGAGCCACAGCAGCCGCCACGAGAGAGAGCATATTTTGTACCCTCTCTCGGCAATGATTCTCTCTCGCTCTCTGCACTCTCTCTCACTCGCTCGCTCTCTCTCTCTCTCTCTCTCTCTCTCTCTCGGTGGGAATCTGTGTCAGTTTCGCAGAGGACCACAATCATTATTATTATCTCAGAACTTGGTTATTCTGATTCGAATTGCAGCTCCTAAGGGCAGTTCTTCTCAGAAAAGGATACTCCACAGCGCGAGAGAGAGGGACAGCTGCTGGGCGAGAGAGAGAGGGCATACCTTATTTACCCTCATGTCGCTGTTGCTGCTCAATTTTTCCTATCAGAATGCTGCCGTGGCTGCTGCTGCTGCTCTATGTATCTTTGAGATACACAGACAGTTGTGAAGTTGAGGGAGGAGCCACGGCAGCAGCAAACTGAAACCAGAGTCAGGATAATAGGGCGGGCACATCTTCGCATTCATTATGCACATCTATATATAGAACTATACATGCCTATAGATACATAGATACATAGATACGGTATATACTGTTAGATACAAAAGCGAGAGATACAGATGCTGATGCTGGTGCTCTGCTCTTTCTGTCTCTCTTTGGCAGCCAATATGTTTGTTTGTTTGTTTGTTTGCGGTTCGCCCCACCTCCCAGTCCCCCCTCTCCGCCCGCCACTCCCCAGCCGTCAGACAGTGGCAAGTGGCAAGTGGCAAGTTTCTGGCTTGCGGTTGCCGTATCCTTAGCATCCATTTTGATGTGGTTCGGGCTTTTCTCTCCCTTCCTCTCTCTCGCTTCCCCCCCCCAGCACCCACCGACGTCTGTTCCAAAGCGTGCGCAATAAGCACACATTAGGCTAATGGCTCTGTGTGGGTGTGTGTACAGCCTTTCTCTGGCTGTGTGTGTGTGTGTGTGTGTTGGCTATAATTGAAAGCGACGACGACTTTTAGCCCTGCGGCCTCTGCCGCAAAGTGTGCCGCCGTGGCGCTGCTTTCCTCCGCTTTTCCTCCACCTTTCGTTTCTGTTGCTCTTTTTTTCCGCTTTTCTGTCTGTTTGTCTGTGTGTGTGTGGGGTGCATTTGTGTGTGTGTGTGTGTGTGTGGGGGGGGTGAGGTGCTGACAAGTACATGGGCTTTTTGGGTTTTTGTTTGCAACTTAATTTTCTATCTGTCGTTAAAGTTTTTTGGGGGTTCTTTCTGCTGTTGTTGTTTTTGCTCCGGCGCCAGGCCCCAGGAATTTGTGTGAATAAGCCGCCACTTAAGAAGGGGAAGAGGCGGGGCAGAGGCGGTGCAGAGGCTCCCAGTGGATGGGCGCATAGATGACTGGCCATTGAGTAAGACTTTTGATGGTTAAAGTGAGTAAACGAATTTGTGGCAGGCATTTTCTGCACACTACTTGATTGTATTATTTATTAAATTAAATTTATTAATATAAATTAAATCAATATTGCTCACAAATGCGTACGAATGACAGATATGAGTGTATCATTTATATGAATTTTTTTATAAATATCTTTATGCTTAAGCTGTGGATACATTTTATCTTCATTCTATATAAAGAATGGAAAAGTATTGTTTAATACGCATTTATAAGGAGAAGATTAACGAGAAGTAATATTTAAATTCTTATTAATTGATACAAAAATTATATATAATTTACAGGGACTTCTAGTGCTCTCCCCCTATCTCCTGGCTGGCTCTCTCACACCCAGACTTCTACTTATGCTTGGCCCAATTCCTTTCCCACCATATCGTATCGTATCGGTCTAAACCAAATAAATTAAGTGTTCACCGACACCGATTTCCCCCTTTTGGCTTACATATGCTTAGGGCTGTCAATGTATTGTGATTGGGTCATAAATTCGTTCACTTGTTATTTATTTGCATGAAGAAAACGCCACTTGAGGGCAGTCCCTGGCCCTGTCCCTGGCCCCCTAATAATGCCATTCCGAAAGGAATGAGGGGCGCCTCATAAAATATCAATTCGATGGAAAGAGTCCTCCTATCTGTAGGTATTTTCCATGTGTGCCGAGTGTATCTGTATCTCTGTAGCCGTATCTATTTGCGTTTGTCAAACAGCAGCAGGACTCAATTAGGACCTCAGGCCATGCATATACGGGTGCGAGTCGCCCTCGGAGTCGCTATAATGTCATCATCCAAGGGACGCTTAAGGGTTGCAAGGGGTTTGTTGCCGCCGCTTCGTGGCAGGGTCTGTGACTCTGCTAATAGCGTTAAATTAAAACAACATAATCGACAACGAGTCACTCTTCCCCTGCCC